AGACAGGTGAGCAGAGGGCTGGGTGCTGTTTTAGACAGGTGAGCAGAAGCGCCCCGTGGGCTCAGGTATTCAAACTGTTGTCTAGATGACAGGATTTACACTTGGGAAGAGTTGGGTAGGAAACTGGCAGGCACAGGGAGACACAAATGCAGGGACACTGGGTTGCATAAGACTTTGACATTATTAAGAAGCACAGGATCCGCTGGGGTGAAGGTGACAAGTACAAGACTATGTCGTAGGGCCCGGTGGACACAGAAAGACAGGGTTGTATTTTCATGTCATGGGAAGCCAGTGAAGTAAGCAGAGGAGGCCAAGACGAGAATTCACATCGCTGTATTTACGTATTGCTCTACATCCTGAAGATGGTGATCAGGGATCCCTAAAGAACATGTTCTTTATGTTACTCAAACTTAAATGTCCAAATGAGGGAGGAAATGACATGCGATGGGTCTAATTTGCTGAATTCATTCAGGACTTTCTGAGCCCCAGTATGTCCAGTTTAATGGAGGATTCAGCCAAGAACAGCTGAACTGGTTGAATGAAGTTCTTACGTTCTCCGACCTGAACAAGGAAAAGGTGGTGATCGTGAGTAAGTATGTGAATTGTTTCTTTGGTTACAGTGGCATTTTAGAAACTGGAAAGTTATCCATGAAAGAATAGTAATATTCCCAACTTTAATCGGTTTTCTCAGCTGCAAATTGGATCTGGCAGCCTTAATCTTCAGAGGTTCTTTAAAGTCCCCTGCACTGTTTCTGTTCAGTGATGTTTTTATGTAACACAACCTCTGGGCAGGTCCTAAGCTGTTTTTTAAGCTACATCATTCTTTATATGTAACATTCCTATTTATGGAATCAGTGAGATTGGCTTCCAGCACAGAATCTGGCTGACTCCTGGACCCGACACAGGATGGCCTGGGGATTCTGTAGACCTTGGACGTCGTTTTTATACAACTGTCTTCCACCTTATATCTGAACCAGCTATCCATCTGTCTGTTCTGTGTGCTGGAGATGTGGCTATAGGTTGCTCGCTCCGTAGCTCAGTCTGACTTTGAACTCATGATCCTCCTCCTGTAGCTTCCTAAGTGCTGAAATTACAGAGCACATGGCCACCTTGGTCTTCATGTGGATGAAGAAGCATTATACTTAGGTTTGGTTTTCCTGAATACTAGCTTTCAGTCTTTTTTTCTTGATTTAATTGGCTCCTAATTTTTTTTTTTAACAGGCCATCTTCCCATTTACCCAGAGGCCTCTGACAGCGTGTGCCTGGCCTGGAACTACATGGATGCCCTGTCAATCATATGGTCTCACAAGTGCGTGGTGTGTTTCCTTGCTGGTCACACACATGACGGTGGTTACTCTGAGGATCCTTTTGGTGTGCACCACGTCAATCTTGAAGGAGTTATTGAAACAGCTCCAGATAGCCAGGCCTTCGGCACCGTTCACGTCTACCCTGACAGAATGCTTCTGAAAGGGAGAGGCAGAGTTCCAGACAGAGTTATGAACTACAAAAGGGAGCAGGCTGTGTGTTTGTAGTCTATTATCTTGCCTGTCTTTGTAGAAAGAGAATGCTGGTGTTTTGTATTTACTCCATTGCATAAAAAGTTAAATTCTCACTGGGTGTGGTGACACACGCACGCCTTTAATCCCAGCACGTGGGAGGCAGAGGCAGGCAGATCTCTGAATTTGAGACCAGCCTGGTCTACAGAGTGAGTTCCAGGATAGCCAGGGCTATTACACAGAGAAGCCCTGTCTCGAAAAACCAAAAAAAAAAAAAAAAAAAAAAAGCTAGATTTTCAGTCCCTTTGTTAGGTATTTGTGTACAAAGTGGATTTGTGGCTTTCAGTGTGTGTGAGTGAAGATAAAATTCAGAAGTGTTGTTTTTAGACAATATGTCCAAACCCCAACAGCTAGACGTAAAGTAAACCGGGAAGGAGACTCATGGGCATATAGTCCGATAAGGGACTGTATGCAGCCTGATTTGAATTTCTTCTTTTTTGTGCAAGGAGTGTGTGCACTTACTTGTGTTAACTCTAGAGCTTCATACATGAAAGCCCAGTCAAGTCTGCCTTGCTTCCCCGCTGTGTGCACCGTTATTGGTTCAGAGCACCTATACTTAGATAAAGGTGACATTCCTGCTCTGTGAAGAAAAACTGAGAAGTTATTTCAGGTGAAAGGGCCTTCAGGGAAGTAAGTGCTAAGTGACACCAGAACCAAGTGCTGAGTGCTCGCTAGCCTGCTCTGTTTGAAATACCCAGTACTCTGTGGGACCACACTATATAAAGTGATTTATCTTTTACTTCTCTAGACAGATGGAGCCCATTTAACTCGACCTTTGCTTCTATCAAAGCTTATCTGCAGAAAGTCTTGACAGCAAACAGACCATTGATGAGTAGAGTTTGATTCAGGGCTGAAAAATAGAAACATGAGTCAATGTAAGCACCTGTGAAATGCTTACCAGGAAACAGGGACATTGATTTTCTGTGACTGCCAGTGAATTCTTGGCA